TGATGACGTTGTTTTGTATGTTTGTATGCACGTACATACAAAATGATGATGAAGTTGTTTTGTATGTTTGTATGTTCGTACATACAAATGATGATGAAGTTGTTTTGTATGTTTGTATGTACGTACATACAAATAATGATGAAGTTGTTTTGTATGTTTGTATGCACGTACATACAAATGATGATGAAGTTGTTTTGTATGTTTGTATGTTCGTACATACAAATGATGATGAAGTTGTTTTGTATGTTTGTATGTTCGTACATACAAATGATGATGAAGTTGTTTTGTATGTTTGTATGTACGTACATACAAATAATGATAAAGTTGTTTTGTATGTTTGTATGCACGTACATACAAATGATGATGAAGTTGTTTTGTATGTTCGTACATACAAATGATGATGAAGTTGTTTTGTATGTTTGTATGTTCGTACATACAAATGATGATGAAGTTGTTTTGTATGTTTGTATGTACGTACATACAAATAATGATGAAGTTGTTTTGTATGTTTGTATGCACGTACATACAAATAATGATGAAGTTGTTTTGTATGTTTGTATGTTCGTACATACAAATAATGATGAAGTTGTTTTGTATGTTTGTATGTTCGTACATACAAATGATGATGAAGTTGTTTTGTATGTTTGTATGTACGTTTTACGTTTGATACGTAAGACGATTCTAAGATGGGATAGCTTGAATGAATATACGCGCGATTTAACTTTATTGTAATTCATTCAATTTTCTTAATTTATGCAAAATAAAGAATTCAAAATGGCGGCTAAACAATAATAACGATAATAACAATAATAATAATAACAACAATAATAATAATAATAATTATAATAAAATCCTTTGTTTGGTTATGTTTGCATAGGACAGCAGGTACATAGATTCATCTATTAGTCGAATGTGTGCGTATTAATTAGCGTAGGTAGGTACGTAAGACGATTTTCTCACCTTTTCGTCTTATGTATGGCAGTATTTTCTCTTATCTAGGGAAATGTGTGTGTGTGTGTGTATGTGTGAGTGCTGGTCTTTGTGCGTGTCTGTGTGTGTGTTTGAATCATAGCGTGTCTGTGCATTTGTGTCTGTGTATTTGTAAGTATGCGTGAATATGTTTGCGTGTTGGTAGGTATCCGTGTGTAGGTATATGTGCATATGTAGACATTTTCATTATGTACACATGTGTTTGTGTATGTATGTGTGTGCGTGATTGTGTGTGTGGTCAGTGTGGCCAATGTGGTCAGTGTGCGTGTGGTCAGTGTGCGTGTGGTCAGTGTGCGTGTGGTCAGTGAGCACACTTGTATGCAAATATAGAGCTCGCATAATTGCGTAACGGCGCTAATAAATTCGGGTTCGCTATGGCCAAATGAGGGTGCATATATCTGCGATTTCTTCCCGGTCATCATCATCGTCGTCGTCGTCGTCATCATCATCACATTATCATCATCGTCATCATCCTCGTCCTCATCATCGTCATCATCATCACCACATCATTGTTATTATGATTACTCTTATTATTATCTTAGCATCATTATCATCATTATTTTCCTCATTATCATCATCATCATCATCATCATCCTCATTATTGTTATTATTATTATTACTATCATTTTTCCATCATCATATTTGTCAACCAAACATCATAAGTTCGATTAAAACGCAATGCAATGTTATCTTCTAAACAACCTCGTCACTATAATAAAAAAAGTAGTAGTAGTAGCTACAGCAGCTGCACTGACAGTATTAGCAGTAGTGGTAATAGTAGTAGCAGCAACAGTAGTTGTAGTAGCAGCAGCAACAACAAATTTACTGTATGGACTTAATTATGTAATTTTTATAAAATCATTTTAATTCAAAATTCTCTAAGACGCTGAAAGTTGTGAGTTATGATAAAAGATAGAAAGAATAGTATTTAAACTTTTTCTTTAATGCTATTACTATGCATATATATAGATATTATTATAATTTAACAACAACTGCTGCTGCTGCTACTTTTGCTACTACTTTTACTACTACTACTACTGCAACTTATGCTACAACCACAAGAGCGGCCAAAGCGGCAGCTGTTACTTCTACTACAACTGCCTACAACTATCACAACTACTTTTTATTACAAAATACTTCAGCCATTATAAGGACAACACCAGAGACAACTGCTGCTGCTGCTGTTGCTGCTACTACTACAACAACAAGTACCACAACAAATGACTACTGAAAAATAATTCAGCCATTACTACTAAGACTAGTAAAGCAGTAGTAGCCAGCTAAACATCATATCCCATGCTGATGTATCTACCAAGGGGATTACTTCTACATGGTCCTAAATTATTTTTTATAAATTACAAAAATAATATTTTTAGCATTTGTTCGTTTGTTTGTTTGCGTATATGTGCGTGTGTTTGCGTACGAATGTATGTGTGTGTGTGTGTGCGTGTGTGTGTGTATTTATGTATATGTATGTTCGCATGTGTGGTTTGTAAATGTGGGAAGATAAGTACATATGTATAGTGTATATGTTGTATCGGAAATGTATCGTATCGTATCGTATAAATCTATGTATGTGGGTGTGGTGCTTATGTATGTGTGCATGTGTGTATGTGAATTTATGTATATGTAAGTGTGTGTGTATATTTGTGTGTATGTATGTGTGTGTGTGTGTGCGCGTATGTATGTGTGTGTGTGTGTGTGTGCATGGTCTCTTTATGATATATTTCATTTTTATCATCTCTTGCTTGTAAAGATTGTTTAGCTATCCGAGATAAACTATTGATAATAGCCGAAAAATTATAATGGAATTATTAATATTATATTGTAATTTGAGTTTTTATTATTATTATTATTATTATTATTATCATTATTACGTGAAATATATGATAATTAAGATAATAATAAGAAGAAATAGTTTATTTCTAGAATATCCACAGATATAATTTTATTTAATTATTTTGGTTTAAAATTTTCACATTTAAATTTTGTGAGCTTAATGTGTGTTTGTGTTTTTGTGTGTGTTTGTATGTGTGTGTGTGCATGTGTGTGTGTGACAAAAAGAGAACGAAAGAGAGAGAGAGAAAGAGAGAGAGAGAGAAAGAGAGAAAGAGAGAGAGAGAGAGAGAGAGGAAGAGAAAGAGAGAGGCGGGGGCACAACCACATCGAAACATCTCCTCAGTTTTGCATAAATTTATCGTTCGTTATCGTGCTTTATTATTGAGATATTCACCTTCGAATTATGTGCAATGTATTGGTATTAAATTAAGTTATCGTATCTGGAGATGAGCACCAAGAAGATTTACTATGAGGTGGAATAGATAAACAAGTTTTCGGAGATGAACGAAACACACACGCACGCAGTCACAAACACACACACACAAACACACACACACACACACTTTCACTCACTCACACACTCACATACATATACATACACACACACACACTCACACACACACACACATACATGCAGACACATACACACATGATAATTCACGTACACGCAAGGTAACACATTAATTTCTTGTCATATGCGCCGAAAATCAAACAAGCGAGAAGACATATTAAACGAATCACGCACGCACACACCTAAAAGTAGATTTGCATGGCGATCCCACAACTATGCTTAAATTCTGTATTTTCAACAACAAGCGAATAAATGCTAACATTTTCAAACCTTCCTATCAAAACTTCCACTCTTACTAAATTTTTGCAAAAAATTCGGTGGATAAACAACATGGAAAAGTTTTAACACATTGCAGAAAACATAAAATAAAATCTAAGGCGCACATATACACAGGTAGCCAAACATATGTGCAAAGTGCAAAGATACGAATACAAACACGGAGATATATGCATAAATACACACATACAACCACACACATTCTCACAAACATGCACACATAGAGAGACGTACGTTGAAACAAACAATCCGATTTGGGTTGAAAGTAAATTTCATCTCATGGAGGAATCAGTTGGAGTAGTGGAATAAAATGAAGCGGCAACAATGAGAAATAAATTCAGACGCACCTTGGATGTGCGAGCTTGTGGTGTGTGTGTCGTGTGGTGTGTGTGGTGTGGTGTAGTGTGTGTAGCGTGTGTCGTCTGGTGTCGTGTGTTGTTGTTCTGTTTGTTTACTACTGCTCTTGTACTCATTTTGCTCTATCGTCCGCAATTGTCTGTTTCATGCACAACTAAGTTATGCCGCGTTTCTGTTGTGTGTGTGTGTGTGTGTGTGTGTGTGTGTGTGTGTGTGTGTGTGTGGTGTCTGTGTATGGCATGTGTGTGTGTTTGTGTCGGTGTGTGGGTGGGTTTATGAGTATACAGAAGCAGGAGCAAGAAGTAAAGAGAATTCAATAATGAAATGTCTTGTAAGATAGATTCATGCAGGAACCGTCGGAACTTTGAAATAATGGGCTTCATCTCATCGATGGAGAAAGTGGAAAGAAAGATTGAGATGAGATTTGAAGTTTGCTTGCTGAGAGTGTGCGTGGAAAAAGTTTGGAAAAAGATAAAATGGAAAAAAAAAGATGAAAACGCTATAAACATTAAAATGAAATTGCAGAATATCGAGAGCAAACAGATAAAGGAGATGGAAAAAAACAAAAATCTGAATGAAAAAGAATACAAAATAAAGGAGAAAGAAGGTTGAAAAAATCGCGAAAAACGATCGCTGATGGCAACTTGACGCCGTGCAACAACTAGAAAAACAAACAAAACAAAACAAAACACCAAACAAAACAAAACAACAAACAAAACAAACAAAGGTCCTCTTGTAAACAAACAGGCAGACCAGCTAAGGATACCAAACTTGAAATAGCGACATTAGGAACATAAACGTGGGAACGAAGCTTTTTTAAGCGACGTGTCCAAATTAAATTTTTCAAAATGTCGATAAAACTGAAAGAAAGTGCGCTCCAACGACCGCCAAAAATCATTCACGCACACGCACGTGCACATTTTTTGGAAAATGTTTACGAAATGGAAAAATACCTACTACCCATATGTACAATCGATACGTATTATCAAATTCATGCATTGAATGAAGTTTACCCCACAATTCAAACGTTTGAAAAAATGATTTCTTTTAAATGAAACATTATTTTCT